ACAATGGAGTTATTTGAGTAATATCCATAAAACTACATACAGCTTTTACCATAAAAAATATTAAATTTGAGGGACCACAGATGCTAAGACTGCTGTACCTAAAATATTGCTGCCCTGTTCCATAAAAAAACACCACCACAGGAATCAGATTAGGTTAGTTATAAAGCCATAGGCAAAACATTGTTCCTTTTCAAACACCCTGGTAAACAGAATAATTTTAAGTGAAGAAATATTTGCATTAAAACAGTCAGGAATAGACATCAAAGCATTAAGGAACTAGATCTTTATACTCCTGGGATTTGCATTCAAAGACTCAATCAAATTTAAATTCATAACTTATGCAAAATGGAACAAGAATATCCCATTAAAATTATCATAACTGCCTGCTTGTTAAAATGCCCAAATGCATTAGGCATATGATGAAAAAATTCAATGTCATATTACTACAATAATGTTTATATATTAATTCAGAAAACATGAGGAATGACCATAAAGCAATAAGAGATGTAACAGACTCATGCAAAATTGATCTGACCACTTTAAAGGCCAACCAGCCTCAAAGAGACAGTCACAGCACAAGGTGCAGAGAGGTCACACACATGGCATGGCTGGAATGAAAGAGGAATGTCCAGCACTGACCCACAGAGACGCATGAAGAGAATGCACTGGCGCCCACACCAGGCCTCCTCTCAAGACGACTGCCACAGCGGTGGCTTCTGCAAACCACCTCAGAGCTGCCTTCTGGTGTTTAATAAACATCCACCAAACACTGGCTCTCACAGGCAACAGAGAACTCCTGATTAGAGGTGTAAATTGCCCTTGTGTGTATAGAGCTGCTCATATGTTGATGGCAATTCTCAGCAGCACACTTGAAGGTGTAATTCCATTTTCCTATGGGTTGGCTTAGTGCAACAGATGGACACAAACTAGCAAAGATTAGGTGAAAACCAATTTCTGCAAGCTGAATGCTCTCTTTCTCAGGGACATCCACCAGCACACAGCCCTCTCCTCCTCAAAACTGAAACAAAGAGAAGCCAATTTGCTTAAAGTACACATAAAATTAAAAGCTACATTTAACTGTATGCCACCTAAAATACCTCCTCTCTTCAAAATAAAGCTAAAAGCATCTCAGCTGAAAAGTAAAAACATCTCAGCTGGACTTGTGCTCTACATACTCAAACTGAGCCAGAGCCCTACAAGGAGGTGCCAGAGAGCTTCTAACTCCGTCACAGGTACTGAAGGCATGAGAAAATAGTTAACAGCAGGCCGCCTGTTAATCCATGTCAGGTGAATGAAAACCTGAAGTCTTCCAAGTTCTATAAACTCCTGGGTTTCCATATTAGAGTCCAGTGGAGACAGAGAGAGAGCCTCAGCCAGATCTAGTGTAAAGCACTAACCAGTTCTTTTGAACAAGAAGCTTAGACAGTCACAGTTTCCTCTGAAGTAACACAAAGAAGTTTGGGCTGAATGAGCTACTGTGATCCTGATTATTCAAAAACTGATTCCCTGACTACTGAAACTAATCGTTGCCATCCATTCAACAGCAGAGCATATTGTTCCCCTGGACTACAGCAGTGGAGATACCCCAACTACTGACACACAAGCCACTGGGAAAAGTTTCATCTGGAGTAGCAAATTTGTCTTTAAAAATCCAAACAGTGACATCCAATTTCAGCTCCAGCATGTTAAAAGCTTAGAAGTCATCACTCTCATCCTTACAAAGAAAAAAAAAAAAAACAATGACAAATTGAAGATCAAAAACTTTTCTTGGGCCCGTCAGGGAACCAAAGTTGCAGGACTAACTGCCACCCAGAAATCTAAAGAAACACATCTCCTGAGCAGAATTCCAAATAATTCATGTAGATGCTCCACCTCACAGAGGAGGAACACGACTCCCCACTCCTTAAGCGTGGGCTGCACATAGTGACTTCCCTCTAAAGAACACAGTGCAGAAGTGGGGGAGGGGGTGGCACTTCACAGCAGAGAAACCTCACAGTCACTCCCTCAGCTGGGGAATCAAGGTCAGCATCAGCAGTGATGCATCTTATTGACAGTGCACACCCTGGATATGCCGTGCCAACCATGGCACTTTACCTCTGTGGTCTTCCTCCCCCAAACCCAGTGTAATGATGACAAAAACATCAGATAAATCCGAAGAATGGGGCATTCCACAAGATACCTGACCATCACTCCTCAAAACTGTCAAGGTCATCAAAAATTAGGAAAGTGTGTGAAAAAGCCACAGCCAAAGTGAGTCTAAGGATTCGTGACAACTAAATATAATACGGTATCATGGGTGGCCTCCTGGAAGAGAAAAAGGACATTAGGTAAAAACTAAGGAAATGTAATTAATAGTAATGTAACAATATTGGCTCATTAGTTTTAACAAATGCACCATACTAATGTAAGTTGTTATTAACAGGAAACACTGAGAATTCTTTATACTATCTTTGTAATTTTTCTGTACATCTAAAACTGTTCTAAAAGATGAAGTTTATTTTAAAAATCCAAACAGCAATCATGAATCATAACTATCTCGGTCATACCCCACCTCACTGTAAGTGGCTTATGTAAACAGATGCTGGTTGCTCCAGAATCCCCAGGGCTGGGCCCAGGGCTTGTGTCTTCACAACACCCCAGGCGTGCAGGTGAGCTCCTGCTGCCCTGGATTTAATCCCGAATTAATTTACATGTGGTGTGAATTACAGACTAAGGGAATGCAGGCTTAATGTTTGCTTATTTAACATAGGGAGGAATAATTTTAGAGGTGATTTTCAGAAGAGCTGAAGGGCGGGGGCTTTTCAATTGGCAGCAGGTGGCATCTGTGCTTCCCACCAGCAGGCCAACCAGGAAGAAGGAAAAGACACTGTGCGCACACAAAAGACCCAGTGAGGACTGCTGGTGGCTGGCATCATCCCCACGCTGCCCTGTCTTGAATGCCACAGTGCAACATGGAAGGAGCCAGGGGTAGGAGTCAGAAAACCTGTCTGGGTTCCTCTCGATGGTCACTAGGACTCTTAGGTAAGACCTCTGCACTGGTGCTCAAATCGTGGATCTTTTGTACCATGTCCTCCATCCTCTGGAGGTCGACTTTCCTAACTTCTCCCGTGAAGTTTCACATGGGAGAGTCTCATCTCCCTATGTCCAGTTGACATAATTAGAGGGCTCCCTGTGACAAGATAGAGCGCACCAGACACGCTCTGGTGCACCTGCCTTCCTCCAAGACAGCATGACTGCTACCATGCTGGGAATGCCAGCTGAGCAGCCACCATGAGACCAGCCTCTCCCCTTCACAGCCTCTACCTACCCACACTGTGACAACTCTGAAAACAAAGCACTAAGCTTTGAGACCCCCATGGCTGACGGCTCCTCCAGGGAGAGGAAGGCCCTGACAGACCGAGAATCTGGTTCCCGCCCATCACCCTGAGGCAGTAATTTACCCATGCAGCTGGGGTGATTGCAGTGGGAGAATTCTATGGGGAGGGCCTCTGAAACACCCCAAAATCACAGTTGAGTTTTCTCCAAGAACTTCTCCAATGCTCTATACTCTTCTGTAAGGATTAAGTGAATTGTTGGGAAAATAGAATAGTTTGGTCAGGGCCCTCACCTCAAGTCCAGTTGGGTGTGGTTCAGCACATCCTTTGTAAGCAAATTGTGTGTGTGTGTGTGTGTGTGTGCGCGCGCGTGTGTGTGTGTGTGTGGAGTTAGTGCGCATTTGCACCAATGTATCTTTTTAGTTTTGTTGCTATTCTTGTGTTCGAGAGAGACAGAGACAGAGAGAAGTAGAGAGGAGTTTTAGTGAAGCAGGCAGGTGGGCGTTTGCCTTGGGCGTCCGACCTGCACAGCCATGCTTTCCAACCTGCAGCTTCCAAGGACTTTTTGGCCAGTTACCTAGCTCATAGACCTGCGTGAAGGGGTAAGGTGACCTAGCCTGGCATATGAAGGGTTTGTGACCCAGTCTGGACAATGGGCTTGAGGGGTCTGGGAACTCCAGACCCAGCCCTAGCTCAACAATCAGCCTAGTCGGTGCAGGATTACTGGCAGGTAAAAGAGCCTGACAATTGGCGTGGTCATGTAGCTTTACAATTGGTGTCACAAACAGGATTAAGAGAGCTAGACAATTGGCACTGTGAGGAGGATTACAGGCCTTAGCCTAGCCAGACATTAATATAAACACCTAAACGGCCCTAAAGCATAAATAATATATGTCAATAATTTAGGCATACAATGAGATAAAGTACGCAACTCCTTAGGGTAAAACAACTGACAATTAAAGCAAATGCACCTTAATAACATTTACACTAATACCAGCTAATGCAAGAGATCAAAGAAAGCTGTTGGATTTCTCATCCCATCCTCAAAGAAATAACTGAAAGTAAAAAGGAAATTCCAAAAGGAAGGTGGTACTAAAATTCAGAGAACAAAATTATGAGATCATGACTCCAGTGTAATTCTATAGCCATAATTCTACATGTAAATACTGGATTTAAAATGCAAAATCTGTGGTTATTTCTAGACCACCGTGCTGATTATCTATGGGTAGCTTCTAATGGAAGTTGATTATTGCATATTTTTAAATAGGAAAAAAAGAAATAACTTCTCATTTGGCTAAAAAGCTTTGAGAGAGTTTTTTTCCTGAAGGGAGGACCATAGATTAGGTGGTCTCCCGAGTTCTCTTTCAGTCTGTGATGCTGTGATGAACAACCACGGTCAGAAGCAAGACTGCTAACATGCAAACCACGGACAGTAATGCCGGACCCATCCACCACCTCTGGGAAACCAAGCGTGCCACACAAGTCATCTTCCTACAGACCTAATACTTGAGTTGTTTAAGCAAGAGTCTTTCTATAATGCACTCTAATTAGTGCGCGTGGGGCTAGATGGGGCTGGCAGAAATTGGGTGGAAAGTCCAAAAATGTCCCCCTTGGAAAACTGACCCTCATAAAGCAGTGAGAGCTTGATGAGACCTACTGGAGGAATATGAAGAGTGACATTAAGAAATGACTGTGAATGTGGTCCTGGGGACCAAGAAGAGGCCAGGAGAGCTGCCACAACCTGTCTGCACAGCAGAACTAGAATCAGCATCAAAAGCCATGGTAAGCGGAAAATATAAGCATGATGCTGCCTCTGAGCTGAGGAAAGGCGGTCCCTACAGGGCCAGTGACCCCGGCCCAGAGAAGAAGCCGGGTCAGGGGTTACACTGAGTGCTGTGCCTGGGAGGCAGCCTGGCCAGCGGTCCTGAGATGTCAGCCCCTGCCCTGAGACAAGGCACACCGGGGAGAACCACCTCCTTTGAGAACACCCTGCTCTCTCTGTAGACGACATGTGTACATCCATCCTGGGCTCCAGCATTGCGGGGCACGTGGACAGCGAGCTGCTGCATGGACCCCACTCCCTCCAGCATGACCCCCCCTTTCCTGATGCATACTACTTTTTAGTGATAACATTTTCCCCACAGCTTTATCCTTTTTCTCTTATTCCCCAAGGAAAAATAATCAAAATAATTAGTTTTTGGAGGTTATCCTGATATGAATTAAATTGTGTGTCCTCAAAATTCATGTTGACATCCTAACCCCCAGTACCTCAGACTGTGACCTTATTTGGAAATACAGTCATTGCAGATGGTATTACTTTAAGATGAGGTCATAACGGAGTAGGGTAGGTCCCTAATCCAATATGCCTGTGTTCTTATGAAAAGGGGGGATTTGGACACAGAGACATGTACACAGGGAGAGCACCATGTGAGCATGAAGGCAGAGATGGGGGTGATGCTTCAATAAGCCAAGGAGTGCCAAAGATCACCAGCAAACCCCAGAAGCTAGGAGAGAGGCATGATTCTTCCTCAGGGCCCCCAGAAGGAACCAACCCCACTGACATCTTGATCCCAGACTTCCAACCTCCAGAACTGTGAGACAGTAAGTGTTTGTTGTTTATGCCACCAAGTCTGTGTCCTGTGTTATGAGAGCCCCAGCAAGGTAATAAAGCCTGAAATGTCAACTTCAGTTTTACACGGGTGTTCCAACAACTTCCCTGGGACATGATAAACCAGAAAACAGGTGAAGAAGACCCTGTTGCTGTCCCACTTCAAGGTGGCTGCACAATACTCGTTGGAGGCCCCCAGGCCTCTAATGGGAGACTAAATGCCTCTTACGAGCAGACCTGGAGGTGTACACAGTCCACTGCAGATAGAAGGGCAGCAGAATTTTTCAAGACAGAATTTCATAGTAGCTTCTTTTCTCATGTCAATCAATTCTGAAAGGCATGTTTTTATAGTTTCAGGATTCTATGGGCTAGGATGAAACAAGCTCTGCTATTATGTTACACATTTGAACAAAATACTAAATATTCAAATAGAACGTTCAGTTGAATTTTAACTTAGTGTATTAAAATACTTTAATGGTGAGATTTAAAAGGAACCTTTTGTACTACATAAGAGATGGCTTTTCCTCCCATTGGGAAATGAAGTGTAATCCCCATCCCCTTGCACATGGGCCAGTCTTTGTGACTTGATCAAGAGAATGTGACAGAAGTGACACTCTGGGACACAGGAAGCAGAGTCATAAGAAGCCTGCAGCTGCCACCAGAGCCTCGCAGAATGCTCATTCTGAGAGAAGCCAGCCACCATGTAACAAGGACAACTACCGTGAGACCACCACGCTCTAAGGAAGCCCAAGTAGCCACATGGAAAGGCCACACAAAGAGAGAAAGGTGTGTGGCCAGCCCCAGCTGCTCCCACCATCCCAGCCCAGGCACCAGACATGCACGTGAGTGAAGGATCCTTCTTGGACATTCCAGCCCCAGCAGACATGACATGGAGGACCAGGTAACCCAGCCAACAGCCAGAATCAAGGCCCCAAACATATGGCCCCAGTCCAGATGTTCCATCCATCTCCAGCCATCTGGTAGTGTCCCAGTCACTAGTAAGACATCTCTGCTGTGCCCCGCCTAAGTTCCTCACAAAATTATGAATATAATACAAAGGTGTTTGTTTAATGTCGCCAAATTTCAGGGTAATCTATTGTGCAGCAATAACTGGAACACCCTGTCAAGTTTTTTTTTTTATTCTTTTTTTCTTTCCAGATAGTTAGGTGGATTTATCTGGAGGCTACGGTGTAATTGAAATTCCATTAAAGATGCTTTTTAACAAGCAAATGGGACTAATGTATCTTTCCACTATAAAGGACGGCTCCATCTTTGCCAAACCATATCTTACACTGTGAAGTTACCCAGTAAAATCTGTACCTCGTGTTCATACTTCCTAACAGCTGCCCAACTAAAATGGGAACTGAGAGTGTAAGCAGCAGCTCACCGCAATGCTTGCAAGCAAAGTGTGACTCAACTCCAACGCAGAAGTCAGGAACGTCAGTAAAAATGAACTTCTGGGGTCATTCATCAGCTTCATGGCTCTGATTTCAAGTGGGCATCAGACAGACCAAAGAAAATGTGGACTAACATCCTAGAAACAGGGGCTCTTCTGACTCAGCAGGGCCAGAGGTCAGCTTCCCTGGCATGACCTCAGACAAGACCTCAGACAAGCCCCACGTGACCTGGGAGCTGTCTCCCCATCATCTCTCCAGAGAAAAAGCCCCAACTCTGCTCGCTGTCTGCCTAGGCTTTTGGGGCAAAATGTCTTCCTCATATCTCATAAAAATATTCCTTACTGGAACACAACCCTTTTCATATCGTCAAATTTATGTAAACTATGACCATATAGACAATGATATTTGTATGTGTGGTCTCTGCCCAATAGATAACTTATACCAGATTATTTTCAAATAAACAATGAAAACCAACAGCAATACATTCTAAAATTTAAACATAAACAATGAAGTATTAATAGCAAACTGGATCTGCCTGTATTTCAAGGCTCACTGTCCTCATGTGAACAGCTACACTCTCCTTTAAGCCTCATGTCAAGCCCATGGCATCTCCATTTCAGTAGAAATTTTAGGGTCCTACAGCTACTTCCTGATAGGGCAGTCAAAGCCAGGCCAACCAGATGCCAGCGTCTGCAAGAAAAAGATCTGGGTGGTGCCAACCTAAAGTACCCCCTTCCCCCAGCAACGCCCAGGTCTCTCCATCCGTGCTGTGCACACATCTCCACTTTTCTCGTCCTCACTCCGACCCCAGAAGCTGGATGGGCACCTTACAGATCTCTTCCCCAGATCCTGTGCAAAATGGCCAGGATTGTCACATCTGAGGTTGTTTGCTTGTTTGTTCATTTGAAGTGAAATTAGACTTCAGTGACCTTGTTATTATGGGAAAACATTTTTTAAATTATGTGTAGCAAGAAAAATTAATTTGAGATTATGAGTTTCCTGCAGCCTTCAAAGAAGGGTATTATGTAACTGTTAAAAGCAACTTGGCAAGATCTCCATTCCCGACCTGGAAGAATGTGCAGACGCTATGTGAAAGTACAAAGCTGAAGACTACCGTCTACAGTGTGAGTCCATTTCCATTTAGAACAAAACCAGAAAACAGAAAGCCCTCTCTGTGGATCTGTGTGTGGGAAAAAGAAGAACAGTATGGGAGGAGACTCACAAACCTCCACCTTGGTTAGCTGAGGGCAGGGGCTGGGTCAGGGTGAGATGTCTGCCTTTTTCCATAGTCTTTCCCCTACTGTTTGGCTAGTTACAATGAGATTGCGTTACGCCTGTACCTTACGGGGGGTGGGGGAGGCGGGGGGCACGAACTGCAGGAGAACTAAATTGTTAGAGTGTGTGGTCAAAGAAGACAGTGTCCACATTCCCTGTGGCTGAACACCCAGACCTTGAGATCAACTCCAGGAGGAGGTAAGTTAAGGACAGAGACCTGGAAGAGTTTAGCATCACTGCCTCATGCCAGGCCCCGGCTGAGCTTGCTATATACATCATGTCAGTAACTTTTCAAAACTGCCCCATGAAGTACTATCCCATGTTACAGATGAGAAACGGAGGCACAGAGATAGTGCAACCTATGATCCCCAAGTGATGGGGTACAGCTGGGATTCCCACCCAGGCAGCCCAGAGCCTGGGCTCTCAAAGAGTATGTCGTGATGCTTCAGTTGGGTTAACTCTGATCAAATCATTCGGTCTCTTTGAGGGTCATTTTCCTTTCTATCTACTGAGAGTGATAACACCTACTCTTCTTCATATATGTACAGCATCTTGCCTGTGCCTGTAAAAAGGGGTAGCGCAGAACTAACTGCCATCCCAATACCACAGGGACCGGGCCAGTGCTGCCAGGTGTGAGCAAAAAGGCATCAATGCCACTGGCACAGGGCTGTTGAGAGAGAGAGGAGAGTGGGTGCCATAGCTCTTCTGGACCTAAGGAGCAAAGAGGAACGTGGTTATGAGGTGGACAGGGCTTGGAATGGGAGATGAGGCCAAGGAACCAGGCAGGCATGGCCAACCATGTGGAGGGGGCAGTCCCCAGCAAGGATGTGGCCTGCAGCTCAGGCAGAGAGCACAGACACCGGGAGCTGCCCCAGAGGCAGGGACAGCACAGTAGCTGTGTCTTCACATTGCCTGCGTACTGTAGGACACTGGCCTCTCCATCCCTTCAGCCATCCATGACTTAGGTGACCAGCTGACACACAGGTGGCCTTAGCATTCGGCCCCACTCACCCCCTCCCCAACCACCTGACTGACATTCTTTAAATGTCTGTTCAATTCTCATGCACAGGGACAGGAGTAAACTGGTTTTCTTTTCATAAAAAATGTTATGCCTTTCTCTTTAACTGCAAAATAAGGTTTTTAAAAAATACCATTTTCCAAATAAAGCGTTTCTAGGAGGCATAGTAAATGTTTAAAATTTAGATCATAAAATGAGTTACTGATTCCTAGCAAACAATATTGCCCAATCAGCCTCAAATTTTCAGCTGACTGAAACTGGACCTCACAGCCTGGACCCGCCGGCCAGTCCTCTGCGTTCAGGACCACAAAAGCACTTGGACCAGGCAGGTCTTCATGTGTGTTTCCAATGCCCTAAGGGCACTGACGGCCTCAGCAGCGGGGATGGGCCGATTCCTCGTTCACCAGCTCTACTGTGAGTCCATCGCCTGCAGAAACCTTAAGAACTATAACTGCAGTTCCAATTTAGTCCAACAATGTTCTTTTGCCTGGCACAAGATGGGGGTCCCTGGCAGCTGCCCTGTGGGCCCACTCCTCAATCCAGCTCTGTTGCTGATGGGAGGGGGCTGGTGAGGGCCGAGACCTGTGGGTTCAGGCCTTCTGAGAGGTTCTCAGCATGAGGGTAAAGCCAAGGGGAAACCAAGAGGAAACAGAAGAATGGGTTCTACTGGCTGGGGAACTGCAGAAGGATCAGGACAAGCAGGTGTGATGTGAGGGCCCCATCCAAAGACACGTGCTTCGCTGGGACAGGTGTGCAGCTCTGGGGTTGGGCATGAGCTTTGACGTGAAGCCAGAAAGGGAATCTTTGCTCTGTAACAGGCTCAGCCCTTCCTCTACCATATGTCACAATAATATTTCAATCATTAGATCTGAACTAAACACAGAGTTAATTTACCGAATAATGTTTTAATGACAACAGCAGTGGCACCCAGCAGTGCTCCAATTTATGCATAACCTCAAGATAAATTACATCTTTTGACTTGCAGAGAAAGATGTTTAATTAGGAAGATTTTCAAATATAAAGAACTGTCACTGTAAGGCATGTAAGCTCATCACTATAAAGTCACTCATTAACATATGAAAACGTTACCGTGTAATAAACAGCTTATATAACAGGTGGTCCTAGAAATGGAACAAGACAACGAGAGCACTGCCCATTGTGTGGCTCAGCCAATTAGGCATTACCTGATGTTACTGAACATGGCCATCCCTTCACTCTCAGATGGGAATACTTTCGCCATAAAAGATTCTTTTTCATTGCACTTGACTGGATTCTGGTTTTCTAGCCAGGTACAATTCCAAATTAGAATTTGTATGAGAATAAGATATTTAAGATTCTCTTTAAGCACTGGTAGTTTAACACAGTTTGTCTCAAGGGTAGTTGCAAGAAAAAACTGCACTTAAGAAGTTGGTTAATCAGATGCAACCATAGTAACCAGAGGAAGAGATCAGTATAGACAGAATTCTGTGGCTTTGCCCAAAATGTGGGTGAAACCACCCCATATCCAACCCCATGGGTTTTGTGGTGGCTTGAGGAAATGTCTTATGAAGTTGGCTCAGTGTGGGGTGGTGGGGTCAGGGACATCTCAGTGGGTCCTGCGGGATGAATAGGAGTTTTCCAAGTGGAATGGCTTCAGAAAAGCAATTCAGGAAGAGGTCAACGTAGGCAATGCATGGAGCCCTGATACAAAATGTGACAATGAGGGTGGTGCAGACTGCTCAGGTGTCTGTTTGCCAATAAATTTGGTATTTCCTTTGTAGACAGTGGTTGAGGCACAGGAGGGCACTAAGCAGGGTGGCAAAGCAACTAAGTGCAACAGCGAGGACAATGGATTTGGAGCAGGGCAGGGGTGGGCAGAGGGGCAGAGGGGGAGACCACTTAAAGAATGCTACATTGTTTTCTGATCAAATGTGTTTGCAGCCTCACTGGGAAAGCAGAGTCAGACCGTACCCCCAAAACTAACCAGACCAAGAGCTGTTCTAATAGGTTACACATGAGCAAAACTGTGGCATGTTGTTTACAATTTCTGATAATTCTAATACTGTGATTTTCCTTTTTTTTTTTTTAAACAGAAAACCAGTTATTATCCTGGGAAGCTACGACCATCACGAACCCAACATTTGTTTCCTGGAATGTTGCAAATGATGTTAAGAAATAAAAACAGAAAGAGAACAAACCCCTTCAAGGATTATGTGCCCCATTCAAAGATCCCATGGCTTCAGAGCCATGGACTGTCTACTCTTGTTTCTCTATATGCTCCCCTGATTTTTGTCTCTACTATATTTTCCCTTATCAATTTAATACTTCATTTATTCATGATTCAAATATGCCAGGCACCATGGTAATTAAGAGCTGGGGCACAGCAGTGGACTAGTTTCCATCCCACAAGGCTTGCATTAAAGAGTCAGTAACCAAACAGCTGGTTAGGGAAGTAGGACTGTGATGAACTGCCAAGGATACGTCAAGGTGCCTTTGAAGGCGCGGGCAGAGGACGTGTCCTGCCCCTCACACCCCCCTAGCCTGTGGCAGAGCTGCCACTAAAACCTGGAACTCCTCATTCCCACCACATGCTGCCTCACTCCTCTTTTGGTTTTCTCATTTGTTCATTCATCTGCTTGCACCTTTGTGCATTTGTCCATTCATTCTTCCAGCGTTCAGTTATTCGTCCACTAACTACACATGGAGAAGGCCCTGAAGACACAGCCTGCTCGTCCCAGCTCAGCTGCAAGGCGTCCAGACATCACAAGGCTGACGAGCATTGCAGGTGTTGGAACGCAGATGCACTGGTGCATTCGCCAGTGAAAGGTGAACAACTGCCCCAGGGGGCTCAGCAACAGCCTCGCAGAAGTGGCCCCGATGGACGCAAGCTGGAGAATGAGCAGGAGCTGGTCACTTCCACAGTATGCAGAGCAGGCTCCCATGTTCCAGGAGCCATGTGGACAGGATTGTTCCCCTCTTGGAAGTCAGAATCAGGAGGCAGAGGAGCCAGGAAACCCAGTCTGTATCTGTGTCAAGCTCTATGGAGATAATAGGCGACGTGCTGGGAAGCTATAGGGATCTTCTACAGAGGGGGAGGTGGCATCCAGGCCCAAAGCCTGCATGAAAGGAGCCAGGATAAGCACATTCCAAGTATAGAGAGAAGCTTGGAAAGTTCCAGAAACTGTCAGCAGGCCAGAGGGGCTGGAGCACAGGGCATTACTAAGTGAAGTGACAGCTTAGGCAAAGTACTACAGGCCTTGGGGAAAAGTCTGATTTTTTTCCTACATGTGACAAGAAGCCACTGAAAGGTTTTAGAAGACTTATTAACAAGACCCTATTTTTACATTTATAGAAGCATACTGGTCAGGCCCTCAAGCCCATAGAAGGGTTTTGTTGCAAGCAGAAAAGTCTGCCCCTCTTCTAAGTGATGCAGCAGGTCCCAGCCCTCGACCAGGCCTCCACGTATGGCAAAAGGTGCCCAGGTTCTGGCTGCTGCATTAGGGTGGGGGATGGTGACAGGAGATGGTGGCTGGAACCAAAGAGATAGCCATGAAGACAGAGATGAGGGGATGGATTTCAGATAACTTCTGAAGGAAGAGCTGGTGGGATTTGATGTGCATGTGTGAGGAGGTGAGGGAAAAAGATTGCTAGATATTCCAGGCACCTTGGTAATACTATCTTTACAGCCCTAATGCAAGCTTTCCGTTCTACAGAAAGGCCAAACAGCTGCAGGTTTTCCATCACGCACATGCCATAGTTTATCAACTGGTCCTTCTTCAGTGGATTCTTGGTTTTCAGATTTTTGTATCATGTACAATGTTGCAATGAATTCTCACTTCCAAGGTGTACAGGCCTACCTGCAGGATCAAATCCTAGAACTGGGATGCCTGAGTCAAGATGTGAATTAACCCATAGTAGTTTTAATTTTGCTAAGTTATCCTACTGGGGAGGTACCATTTTCCACTCCTATTAGCAAAGTATGAGATGGTCCATTTCCCTACTTCATCAAAAGATTATGTTCTCCAACTTGTGGTTTTTGCCCCATCTGATGGATTTTGTGGTACCTCAGTGATGTTTTAATTAGAATTTCTGTTATCAGGAGGTTCACAGTGTTTTCGTGGTTAAGGCCATTTGAATCTTTCTGTGAGCTCTCTGTCCATGTCCATTTCCATTTGTGGTCTTTTGCTTATACATTTCTAGGAAATAGGAACTGTTTGTGATATCAGTTTAAAGTATTTTTTCATTTGATATTTTGCTTTTGAGTGTGCTTGCTTTTAAAAAAAATTGTTTTTTACTTTGATGTGATCACATTTATCCAAGTTTTATAGCTGCAAAAGAGTATTAGACGAGCTAGTAAAAAGGAATGAAGAAACTCCTTGTCCCAGATTTAGAAAGATCTCCAAATGCATCATTAAGTGGGAAAAGCAAAGGTATAAAGCATACTCCTTTTTCTCTAAGAACAAGGAGAACATGGGAATATATGTTCTTATTTGCTTGCATTTTCATAAAGGAACTTGATGGTTAATTTTATGGGCCAACTCGGTGAGACTATGATTCCCATCTCTTTGGTCAAACCCCAGTCTGGATGCTACTGTGACAGTCTTTTTTGGATGTGATTAGGATCTACAGTCAGCAGACTGAGTAAGGCAGGTCACCCTCCATGATGTGGATGGGCCTCCTACAATCGCTAAAACCTGAGGAGCAAAGACAGTTCCCTGAAGTAGAAGCAATTCCTCTCAGGACAGTGCACCTGCCCGAGTTTCCAGCCTGCTGCCCTGTGGAGTTCAGGCTCAAGACTGCGACTTCAACACTTACCCCAGCCTCCAGCCTGCAGCAGCCTGCCCTGCAGATTTCAGTCTTGCCAGCCCCCATGACTGAGTGAGCCAATTCCTTAAAATAAATCAACCTCTCAGGCTGGCTCTCTCTCTCTCTCTCTCTCTCTCTCTCTCTCATTGGTTCTATAGATCTGAAAACCTTGACAACACAGGAGCACCAGGATTAGACAAGAAATGAATAAAGTGATTGGGTGTGGGAGGGACGGGGAAGGTTAGAAGTGGGAATTCACAGTTTAGGCCTTGTTATACCCAGAAATTTAAACCATGTACACATATCACCTACTCAAAACAGAAAATAAAATCTAGGGCATAGTTAACTTTTAGGTGTAAAATAAGATAAATGCTATATAAACTAAGTAATAAAGGTTTTTTTTTTTAATATAAATTTAAGATACAAAAGAAAAAAAACAGGAAATTCTTCAGGTTTATAAGTTTAAGGTACCAAAAAAAGGGAGGGGGGGATTTTCCAGGTTTATAAATTTAAGATACCAAAAAAAAAAAAAAAAGGAATTATCCAGGTTTATCCAAAAGATGAATTGCTCAGGAAGAAGACAATTTTTAAAAGAACTGAGATGCAATTATTCTAAACATGAAACTATATACCACATTTTTAAAATATATAATATTTTTAAAATCTGACTTATCCATGCATCTGATATAAGCTTTGGTTCCCACCAGCTTTTCTAGTCCTGACCCTCCAGATGGGCAACATAATTTGTATCAATCTGCAAAGGGACTGGGCCATGGCTTGGGCTGGAGCACCTGGCCTATGGCTGGAGAGATTTTCCAGGTAACAGGTGCCACCTCCCCAGAACTCTTGCTCATCACATGCTAGGATTTAGAGATGTCCAGGGTAAAATAACACTTTTAAAGTCAACCCTAAATGTTTAATACAAACTATGAACTATGCATAACAAAAGCTTCATCTTGGAAGCATACACCATTTTATGGGAAACCCAAATCCTATAACATATGTAACCTCATTTGTTGCAGTGAAGTTTTCCTCTGTTGGAGAAAGGTATTGCCATCTCATGAGCATTTTTCTTACTCTCAGAAGGGGTTTTACAGACAGGCCCTCTTTGGTGTCCTCTGATGCAGAGTCTGTTCCAGAGAAGCACTGGGCACTGGGAATGCACATGGTACCAGGACAGACAGCCTACGCCCTAGTGCCCACAGCACTGCATCCACAGAAAGGCCTGGCTCCTATAGCTTCCAGAGTTGGAACACACAGCTGGTTGTTATAAGAAGGCCAGGCACACCACTGCCGCCACAGGGCCCCTGGGGTCCTGAGGCAGGAGCTGGGGAAAGCCAAATCCCCACTTGAAACGAGGTAAAGAGCACACCAAAAACATCATTTCCAAGCAAGTAGCTCACCATAGTCACCACAATTGCCATGGCTGCTACAAAAGTGGCTAGTCACCACAGCAGTAGTCATAGCCACTGTACAGGTAGCCCGCCAGACACTCGACTGCACTGACACAGGGGAGACACCAGCAGAGACCAAGAAAAAAAAAAAAAAAAAAAAAGTCTCTCTCCACAAAGCACACTCTAGAGATATAGAAGAAGCATCTGCTCTACGATAATAGTGGGGGACCTGAACATGCCTCTTTCAGCACTGGATAGATCTAGGCAACAAACCAACAGAGAAACAGTTCATCTATCAGAAGGAGAGAACAAATCTATGGTTATTAAGGTGGGGGAAGAAGGGAAGAGATTGGGTAAAGGGCATAAAGAACAAGTATAATATATAATAATGAATATGCTAATAAAAAATGAAAGAAAAATACAACAAGGCTCCTACTAAAAACATACTGGAAAGAAACTATATCTGCAGCATTAGAGAGCCAGCGGAAACCCATGGTTAGGAGTCTGGGTTGTAGATTAAACACACAGACACATACACAGACACATCAATACGCACAAACACACAGAGAGATACTCAGACACACACACACACACACACACACACACACACATGTGTCTGAATCCCGGCACTTTACCGAGCTTGCTTCCCCATGTAAAGTGGTAACGGTATGGTCCCACCATGAAGAGCAGTAATGAAATCCAAACGCAGCCGTGGCTGCTAGGGCTGCAAGTGCTCATACAGAACGAGCGCTTAATAAATGCTGGCTCCTCCTCCGTAACTTTATTTCCTACTAATAGGAAAATTAAGAGATATATATATCCTTGGATAGTACTTGAAAGCTATCACTAGGGGCTATATTTGGGAACCTGTCAACTGGATCCTTGAGTGAAATTCCCCCACCCCTTAGGCCTCTTAGGAGTAAGACCCAGAGTGCTCAGGGATCCATTGTGGAAGGAGCTCGGCAGATGGAGCTAGAAAGGAACACAGGCTGAGAGAAAGGACAGCATTCAGAACCCTCAGGGTGGGGCACACAGGGCTGCCCTAGGCTGAGAGCACCCCCACACGTCGTCCCATGTTTCTCTGCTTCTTGCAACAAGGTCCTTTCTACTGTGGAAGCTCTCCTGGCCTCCTCGACCACAGGACAGGGAATGCCCCCGGACATAACACCCAATCAGTGGAGAAGAGGAGCCAGTGAGGCAAAATAATAAGAGTTGACATTTATTCCTTCCCAGACATTGACCTAAGCACCTTATCATTATCTGTGTTAGCTCTCATGACAAACCTACAAATTACTATAGTTGTTACTGTTTTCCACATGGGGAAACTGAGGCACAGAGAAAGCAAATAACTTTCCCAGGTTGCCCTGCTGGTAGGCAGCAGAGCTGAGGCTCCAATTCGGGCAGGCGAGCTGCAGAGCATGTGTTCTGAGGGCAGAAGCTACACTGCATGATGCAGGCCAAGCTGGGAACTTTGGAGGATCCCAGCAAACACAGGTAGAAATCAAGAAGGAAAAGAGCCTCCAGCAAAGGCACGGAAGGAGGTGGAAGCAAAGAACAAAACCAGGTGAACGCCTGTGACAGGTGCTGAGGGAAACAGAATGGTCACCAATTCTTAGCGACACACTCTGAGTGACAGATTTTGAGAAATGCCAGCAGCCGGGCCCCTGTGACTGGTTGTTATGATGGTGTCTGAGGCTGAAATCCAGTCTGGACTCTGCTCC